GTGGTGCAAACTAGTGGGAATGACAATTGTGCCAAAAAAGAAATGATTGCAAGGGAATAATAAAAATATCCACTTTCATAGTGGGAATGGCGGACCTTTTGGAATCGATTCACCAACACGGAGCAACAAGCCCTAGGAGAGGCTGCAGCAGTTTGCTTTTGCCTGTGCCTGAGAAGTATCCACCCATCTTCTCATCTCCTTGCTGCTGAGTTTAGTTAGTGCAAGCTAATTCTGCACTTTGAACTGTTTGCAACAACTGAAGTAAGCTGAGGACATGGGAGGAGAAAGAAACTGGAAAATAAACTGGAACAGCTGAAAAAGTGGGAAGGTATAGGTTTAATCAGGATTGTCCATGCCAAATCAGGAAGGTCTGAGGTCACTATGAAAAAGTCTCTATATATACCATATGAACTATATTGATTCTGGGCAGATCCTATTATTTAGGGCCTCGGCAGACGACTAATTGAGTCGTCTTCCGGGCCCGGAAGAGGAGGGGCAGCCGCACGTTCGGCGCCCCTTCCTCTTCCTGAGGTCGCCCCGGAAGCTGCCGGCCCTCCGCACGTCCGGCGCTTCCGGGGCAACCTCCCTCCGCAGCGACCGGAAGCGCTGCGGAGGATAAGACAGCGAAAGTGCGCCCGCCGCTTTTAGGGCGCACTTTCGCTGTCTTGAGGAAGGAGCGCTGATTTAGCGCTCCTTCCAGGGACGCCGCCGGTGCGCCGAGATGCGGAGGCTGCGGCCCCGCGGCGTGCCGGCGCAGGGCGTCCTGGACGCCCTCGTCTGCTGAGGGGGTTAGTCTCTGGAATCTAGAAATGGGATGTGATCCTTCTTCAATGGCTCCCCCTTCCAAACATATTGTTTACACCTACATTTTAATCATCTGCACGGGGCAGATGTCTCCTTTACTTTTAGGGGCTGGATGTCCTGCGTTAAAAACCACAGTACAGAAATAATCCACTCTGAGACCGCTTTAACTGCCCTGACTCAATGCTTGGGAATTCTGGGAACTATAGCTTTGTGAGACATTTAGGGGGGTTGCAGACTGCCAGAAATAGTGCAAATTGAGTCCACTTTTAGGGTTAGGGTTAGGGAATGATGGGAACTGTAGTTTATTGTGGCACCAGAGCTCTCTGACAGAGGGGGTTGCAGACTGCCAGAAATAGTGTGAATTCAGTCCACTTTTAGGGTTAGGGTTAGAGTTAGGGAACCATGGGAACTGTATTTTATTGTGGCACCAGAGTTGTCTGACAGAGAAGGCTCAATGTCTCAGAAAAAAATGCAATTCCCATGATTCCCTAGCACTGAGCCAGGGCAGTGCCTCAATTTAATGTGCACTATTTCTGGCAGTCTGCAACCCCCTTTAGTCTTCTCTGTCAGGCGAGAGCTCTGGAGCCACAACAAACTACAACTCCCATGATTCCCTAGCACTGAGCCAGGGCAGTTAAAGCGGCCTCAAAGTGGGTTATTTCTGCAGTGTGTTTGGGACCTAAGAGTGGGCGAGGCCCTGTGAGAAATCCCAGTCGAAGAGGAGGAGGAAGAAGAGGAGGAGGAGGAGGCCTTCCTGAGGTAACCGTCGCGAAACTGCGAGCGAGGAGTCTCCCGTGGCGGTAGGCCTCGCTGCTCCCACAGCGCCGCCTGGAGGGCCCATGTTTGCAGCAAGCACAACCACAACCACAACCAAGGTGTCACATGGCAGGAAAGTCCCTCGCTTGTCTCTGTCTCTGTGTGTGTCTGTGTGGAAATCCCCAACCCTGGACTTTTCTTCTCCTTCTCCTTCTTCAAATGTTCCACCTTAGTAAAAGAGGGAAGG